CATTCTATACAGCTTCTCCATTCTGAAACTGTTTGCATGACAGTTTCCAATCCAGGGTTACTCCAAGCAGTTTAGTCACCTCAAATTGCTCAATTTCCAACTATTCATTACAATATTTAGTTGAGGTTTAGGGTTTAGTGAATTATTTTAAATATTTAGGACTCATTTATTCCTTGCCACCCATTCTGAAACTAATTGCAGATCTTTGTTAAGTGTTGCAGTCATTTCAGTCGCTGTGGTAGCTGATGTGTATAGTGTTGAGTCATCCGCATACATAGACACACTGGCTTTACTCCAAGCCAGTGCCATGTCGTTAGTAAAGATTGAAAAAAGTAAGACTTGAAGCCCCCACAATCTTTTTATCATCAATTTCTCTCAGCCAATCATGATGATCTTTGCATGTTGGATTGTGCCCTTGCCTATCTCAGCCAATCATGATGATCCTTGCCTATCTCAGCCAATCATGATGATCCTTGCCTATCTCAGCCAATCATGATGATCCTTGCCTATCTCAGCCAATCATGATGATCCTTGCCTATCTCAGCCAATCATGATGATCCTTGCCTATCCGTAAATGTTAAAAACAAGGAAATGGTGCAGTCTGGTTTGCTTACAGTTTTTTTTTATCGCTTTGTTACTATTTTCACAAGTATGTGGTCAAATTTCACAGCTCTTAGTACAAAAATCCGTTTTTTTCAAGACTTTAAGCACATTTTCAATTGACTAAGTACAACACCCAGAGAGGTTGAGGGTAGAGGAAGTTCGGGAGTAAAAACAAACTAAATAGAGTTATTGTAAAATTGACTGACTCCATAAAATGTATATAGGATGTATAAGCTGGAAGTAGAGGCCTAAGCGTTGTTGTTCACTAGTTTACTCCAATTAGGGAAGAGGTGGTGGGGTTGGAAGATAATAAAGGGAAATATATGTTTAAAAAGGATGTGTATGTGTATGTAGGTATGTGTGTATGTATGTGTATATATGTATATGTATATGTATATATATATATATATATATATATATATTTGGAGGAATTAAAGAATCAAAATAAAAAAGTACAACACCCAAAATCACACAGTAACTTTTTCACCAAACCTAATCAGTGTTTCATATAGAAATACCTTTCAAATAAAGTAATTGCCTTTCACAACGCCATGCTCACAATACTTTTCATGTGATTCTCTTCTCATTTGTTTAAATACATTTGACCAACACTTAATCCAACTGCGCTTAATGGTTAATCACTTAACCTTTAAGGTAAATCTAAGTTTGTCTACTACAAAAATAAAATGTGTGTTTATCAAGTATAAACATCTAAATTGTATGATACATGAGAATCATACATAATGATTACTCCTTATTGCGAATTTATTTCACATAGTGGTAACTACAATTTGTCACAATATAAAAGGGTGTGTGTGAACACTTGCAATTTCTTTCAACATGGCGCAGGATAGACAGCAAGGGAGAGGAAGAAATCAAAGAGCTCGTGGACAAGGGGCCCATCAGAGAGGTGGGTATGGGCCCCATCAAAGAGGTAAAAGATGTGGGTATGGGCACCGTCAAAGTGTTGGGCCCCCCTTCAAAGAGGTGGACATCAGAGAGAGGGAGGCAGACGGCAGAAAACTGTTATGTCTAATGAAGTCCGGGCCATCGTCGTTGACCATGTGGTAAAGAGGTCTTACCATGTAGAGGCTGCCAGATTAGTTCACCCCAATCTGAAAATATCAATTCGATCATAAGACCACTTCGCCAAGAAAACCGGTTAGTCTGCAGGATGTTCACTATGCTTTACCATTGTAAATTACATATTGTAATGCATGTAAATTTACAAAACATGTTACAGTATTCTTACAGTACGATCTATTGACAGTATACAGTGCCTTGCAAAAGTATTCATCCCACTTGGCAGTTTTTCCTATTTTGTTGCATTACAACCTGTAATTTAAATTGATTTTTATTTGGATTTCATGTAATGGACATACACAAAATAGTCCAAATTGGT